CGACTCCTGGGGGAGTGTCAAGAGGGTACGTGACGTGGTTCGCCTAAACTCCCAATTCTTATCGAACATTTATACAAATATTCGTTCTAGGAATTTATATCTTATAAGCTATTTATTTGTATCTTATATCCTAGATTGATTTTTATCTGCATCTAAACTTATATTGTCAACAAAGCACCTAGACAGGAGTGTAATGAGTAAATAAGGATTGCCCCATCTTAACGTCAGGTGATGACAACGGTGTATATAAGATCGGGTTCGACTCGAGTGTTTGGCGCGGAAAAAATAAATGATAGCTGCAAATCCTTTTGTAGGAATGTCTGTAGAATGATTGAGAGAGAAAGCGAGTGTATAGAATGAGATAGATCTGGCTTTAAATAGGGATGCAAGGGCGCGTGGCACATAGATGGTGTGTAGTCGAGAATAGAGGATTGCGTGTTAGAGTTGAGAAGAATCTAGCGTGATATGTTAATTAAATAAACCTGTTTTATTATTAAAAAAGAAATTCTTTTATCAATTTTTCGCGTAACAAGGAGGTGTAGAAGCGAGTCTGGGTAAATAGGCGAAATTTATCCCTATAAATCTTCAGTCAATAGGATATTCTAACTCGCGAGACCATCGAGGTAAGCTCCGCGAAAGAACATGTTTACTGTTAGAAAGTTTACGTGTCTTGCCTGCGAGAAAGCAAACTACACTGACTGAACCAAAGCTCTTCACGGCTGGGACCCTTTGTTCCGCTATTACCGAAAACAGGAAGCTTAGCGTAGCCTAACTGGAAACAATAGTCAAATATTCTCTGATACTCGTTGTTCATAACGCGATATGAGTCTTAGTTTCCATACTTCAAAGACAAAGCGGTAGGTGCTTCCAAGCTCTCGGTAATAAGTTAACTTCATCTAACATTAAACTCCCTACATAATCATATTTACCGTTGTAAGACCTTGACAAACTAACTCTGAACAAACCACCGCGAAATTCGCCATCTCGCTGTTACAACCAGTTTGTCATCCCAACATTCTAAACGTCGAATTATCTTTCTGTCCGTGTGCAAAATCGTGGTTCCATCATCCAGATTCAATCATCCAGGTAACTCGCATCAAGCCCGAATCGTTAAATTTCTTACACCAGAAAGCACGTGACTTATAGAAGCTTTCGTGATACAGGAGAGTCATAAAATCGCTCAGGCGTCCAAGTTACACGTTCCAGCTTTTGAAACTTAAGTCAAGAGTGCATGAAATACTCCCCAGCCGTGATTAAATCTCTCTGGAAAAATGTGAGATCGTTGCATGCGAACACTTGGTGTCACTACATCGATCAGTGTCGTTGATGCTTTAATTTACAACGCTGTGTTCAGTTGTTACACCAAACTTAGCCCTTTGGCAGAGGATTGCCCTGCGTGGCTTGGCAGCACAGTCGTACATACAAATTACACTGAGGGTTGCATTTATTCTGTTAAGGAGTTATAACGCGGAGGAATAGTAGTCAGTGGAAACGGTGGAAAAACTGTATAGATCTTTATTAACACTAGATTTACGGGCGCTATCTGTATACCTATTTCTATGAACACCTGTCAAATTGACAGGTAAAGTTTTAAATTAGTTTAATTTAAAAACAATTATATATTAGATTAACAGTCTTAATATAAGTTAACTAAATCTGTTACCATGGTATAATTGGAGCAACCCTTTCGTCAAATTGACGGGTTCCGTAAATCTAGTGTTAAATGGGTGAACGGTTAGAACTGACCTGTTTAGGGCCACACAGGTCACAAGACGTTTCCAGAAAATGGGATACAAAAGACAAAAGACAAAATGCAGGGTAAGGGATCGTCCCCCATATCGCTATGATGTAGGGTTTATTTTACTATTTAGTTTTTACTACAACATATTCTTTCACCAACCCGAAGCAATATACACGAGTTCGTAAACTGTCAATTAACAAGTTGTCAATGTAACGAAACAACGTGAGATTAGCTCCTCGAAAGTTAGCTCCATCTCAGAGTGTCGTTCTTAGGGATACAGAATTAACTCGATGAAACATTGAATTATTTGTCATTGTATTACGTATTATATCACGAGTATGTTCCTTTCCTCTCGTTCCGAGTGCCTCAGGAATTTCCGCCTTTTTTCACAACGATCTGTGTGTGGATATTTCATAACAGCTCGAGTAATTTGAATGAACCGCGTATCGCTGCATTCCCGACTCGAAAACACTCGCTGCATATCGATGCGAAGTTATGTAACTTATTAGTAATCACCGGTATTAAAACAAGCCACGTCGCTTATCAAGCTTCCCGATCGATAAACACGGTCTGGGTAAATATCTTAATTAAACACCGTCAGCCAGTTTCCACGTTGTGCCCTGAAGATCTGTTCGTTGTTCTCTCCTTATCTTTATTCGCGGAGAATGCCGGTACAGTTTCACGAGGTAGACCCGTATAAAAGGTACTCTGCGTAAAAATATAACGCGTCTATTTATCGCGAACGAAAGGGTGCATTAAAGGGAACCGCAGACTGATTTATCTCGAAATCTCAGTCAGTACCCGCCGAGAGGCTGCCACTCGGCATCTTTTATTAGTGCCTTTTATAGCGTCGTTAATAGTACAGGATGGAAATTTCTGACGAGACCCTATCTTTCCTATAAATTCTTCGTTAGCGTGCATTTTAAAGCCTCGGAAAGGAGATCTCGAGTGTCAGGAGTCTCTGATCCTGCGCCCGGGCTCGCGATGTAGCCAACTGTTTAGGTCCAATGCATTCTGTCGTGTGACACCGCACGGTTGTTCCTCGACGGCTATTATTCGCTTCTCTGAATGTCCCCGTGTCCACGAATGTCCCAGCGATATGCAAAAAACTCAGCAAGGTGAATTTTCGCCTGCCACGAGTCCGTGAGCCATGGCGATGGGTCTGCCCGCTTGTCTGCGCCTACTCAAATAATTCAGCGGACCTCTGAAATGCGCGGCAAACGAATGACAATATTCGCTCGTTTGCATCGAGTTTTGAACAACGCGTTATATTTTTCTACTGCTTCTTCTTTTTTCACAGCCTCCTTTCCGTATTATATTTTTCATCGTTATTTTAGACACATGGTTGAACGTATGAAACACTCTTTGGAAGTGTGACTTATCGTTATATAGGGCAATATCGCGCTTAAATTGTGGTCTCTTATTCGTCGTTATTAATTAAGCACCATTAAGGACCAAGCATATGACGACTTTCAATTTTTGGGAATTAAATCGATTTTTCTTAGTAATTATAATAATTTTTATTTCTTTTTAATTTAGCATCGTAATTACAAAGTTACGAAATTTTGAATTATAATAGGGTAACAGTGTTAGGGAAGAAGAAATTTCCTGCACTCAGCATATGTCGAATATTAAGTGATGATTACTAGTTTAAAATTAAAATTGGACACCCCAAAAGAGAATAGTATCATGTGGATACCGTGACTTATCGTTAAATATGACAATATCACACTTAAATTGTGTCCTACTGTTCGTCCTTAATAATTAAGGATCATTAAGGACCAAGCATTAAAATATGGTGATTATTAATTCTTGGAAATTAAATCGATTTTTTAAAATAATTATAATAATTTTTATTTATTTCCAATTTAGCATCGTAATTACAAAATTACGAAATTTTGGATTATAATAGGGTAACTGTGTTAAAGAAGAAGAAATTTTCTGCACTCCGCGTATATCGAATATTAAATGATGATTACTAGTCTAAAATTGAAATTGGGCACCCCTTAATTTCTGCAATAAGGAAATATGGATCAATCATTATCGCACATCACCGGACTAACCGAGATCAATCCTTCCATAGGATTAATTCGTCGCATAAATCAGCATTGGAAGAAGTTGGGGACCCGAGGACCAACCCTAATCCCCGAAATCTGACATAATAAAATCCCTAAATCATTCTGAAAAGAGATAGAGTCACGTGGAGATTAGTTGAACCCAAATATCAACCATTTGAAATATACTCCCCTATAAGCCTGAGCCGAAAAAACCGCATTCGGTATGCAGCAACCTAATATCGCAGGCCATGTTAGGAATGAAAGGGCTTCCAGGAACAAATTCGTCGACAGATTCCATAACCCCGTACCTACAATCGAATCCTCTGTATAATCAAAGCTATGAAACTCTTCCAATCGCGGTGCAGCAATCCGGTTAACCCGGTCTTCTTCGATGAACGTTAAACCTGGCACTTTAACATCTGACGCCAGCTTTGCGCGATGACACTGCGTTGCATCGATCGGGTAAGCTATTATCTCTGGCAAAACGACTGCACCAGCAACTCTCTATCCCTCTTCTCCCTGACCCATCAGCCAGTTTGCGTTTATGCAGAAGGTCGCGCTGATTGAAGTCTGCGAACCGATGTCGCAGCTAAATCTGGTCATCAACGTGTCTCGATACATCTATAGAGATAGACGGACAAGTGCATATTACTCGTTTGTCATAGATGGTCGCTTGATTCCGTGGACATCCTACTCTGATCACTGTCTCATAAAGTTCCTCGATCAAAAAGCCTGTCTTTCCAGGTCAATCTTCCCTTTCTCCTGTCAGGGTGACTCCCTCGCGTTGCGGGCCTTTTTGTCCAGGCCCTTTGACGTCATTGCTGTCGGATATCGAAGGGCGAGCCTAGGTTGATGGTGACCACGCACTTAACGGTTGATTGAGAGGTCGACACATCCGTGCAACACTTCCCAGACTTTCCCAAGCTTCCATTGCCAAGTGGTTACCGTAAACCCAGGCCTGCCTAGCTTTTATAGGCTAAGAGACACTTAGCTAATATTCCCACTCTCACAGCTAATTTACGTGATACAATTTTCCGATTGGTCCAGTGAACTCGATCGATGATAACTGAAAGCAACATCCTCATAATGCCACACCTTCTGACCCTGAACACCCTACTGTCATGCAGACTGTTAGCATCGAATAGACACGCATGAACGTTGCAGTGCACGTTATTATTAATTTTGTCTTTCTATGGTTTCAGGGCCATCCGACTGACGGGACCATTCGTCACCATGGTTTACAGCATGATAACAGGAGACATGCTGACCTTCGGGATAATCTACATGGTGGTGCTGTTCGGCTTCTGCCAGTCGTTCTACTTTTTGTACAAAGGCTTCCCGGGAGTGAAATCATCCCTCTACAGTTCCTATCACTCGACCTGGATGGCACTGTTTCAGATAACCCTCGGCGATTATAACGTAAGCCTCCCTCGTTCCCTATAAATCAGCGTTTTATTGTCGCGGTTATGTCCTACTATCGCCGTGTGTTCACGTGCACACGTTCGCCGCGCATGCACGCCTGCTTTTTCCTACCACCCTTTCACGACCACGAACCCACGCGTTGCTTTCGAATGGAACGCTCGTTGTGGGCTAACAATAAGGATCTATACACAGGGCGGGTCAAGTAAAGCGTTACACACCGTTCTGTGAGAAACTGCCGCTGATATTGACTTTCATTTTTCTTTTCATTTTCGTTTAAATAGAATAGGGATGCTGAATTTCACTTGACATGTCTTTTCCAATTTTTTAAAAAATATTTACTTATTATTCTTATTTTTGATTAGTTTGAAATCCTGGAGAGTACTCTGGTCTTTGGAGTGTGTTAAAATGTAATGGAATATTTTACCTTCACCAACCTTTGTTACAGACGTTACGCGTGTAATGGATATCACTGACAGGTTGTCCAAAATTTTCTGGAGTTTCTGAGTGTTTTTGTTGAACATTGCTCAACGTGCAATCGATATCACACGTATCGGAGGTAGGGAACTGTTTAGACCAGCTTGGCCTCTGTCGTGGAAAATATTCGGAGCTGAGGGGGTTAGTTTCCGTGGAGTCGTTTAGTTTCGTTAAACTTCTCGATTGGATTTATCGATAGGTAAAGGAGAACGAAACGTGTTGAATCGATTGCAGCGGAATATTGTAGACACGAGGAGCAATCGGTGTTCCGAGCGTCCGTGGCTTACAGAAGGTCTCGTTTCGAGAAAATGGGAGATGGAACCGTACAAGGTACTATATATCATGTAACTATACGACTATTCCATCTTTTTACCCTTTTGCCTCCTAATTTTTCCCCTATGTCACACACGTATTATTTTATTTCTAGTTAGACCACACTTTCCTAACTGCAAGCACGCCTAAAACTGCAACTACAATGCTCGTTATCTTTACAGTAAGTGCCGAAAACATAGTCCAAGTGTATCGTTTTTTAATACTGCTACTCTCAACTTGGAGAAGTTCTAACAAAGAAAATTGCGACTTGCTTTGGCCCAATGGTACCTCAGGTGATGATTACCTTAATTTAACCCTTTACACCCAAGAGCCTGTTCTCTATGGGAAAGTAGCAATTCGAAGCTTCTCTGCCATAAAATTAATAATATCATCCACGATAACGTGGAAGGATACAGGACTCTTTTATCGCGTTATTTGAAATTTAACATCCGTTACTGACCTTTGTATTTCTCCTAGGTGGTGACTCTCCAGTGCCAGCGAAGAACTCCAAGACCCTTGCTATCAAAGAGCACTGCGACAATCGTTATTGTAATCACACGAAGGTTCAATCAAGAGGTTTTTATTCCCCTATATAATATCTCGGCTGATATAAAGGGAAGTGACGTTTCAAAGGCGCAGAAAGGACTTTTGAAATGTTTGACGTTCTGAGTCGTTGCCCGTTGAGGACAGATAAAGACTCGTTTGCAATTTTTCTCTGAAAAGTCGCGCGGATTGTTACGAAGCTCTATGTATATACTCGAGCCGCGTTTTTGAATGGGAAGGAAAAAGTTGAATGTTGAGAAGGATCGGGCAATTTCGTAAATCGTGCCAGCATGTCAATGGAGAGCGCAACTCCCCAGCGGCGTTCCCGCTGGTTTTTTCGTCGGTTTCCGCGGAAGGGTTAAGAATTTAAACGCTGCTCGTAAATCAGTTTCAATCAGGAGTACTTGCCATTCGTGTTTTTGTGGCTAAACGCGGCCCGTTTCTGATCGCTGCAGACCGAGTTGTTAGCGCGACGGAATTTTTCTTCCTGTCTTTTTTCAAGTAAATCGTTCCAGCCGTTGTCTGCCTCGATCACGAGTTTAATGGAAGATATAATTGGTCGTTATAAGAATTCTATTCGCTGTTTAGTTCTTGTCCTTGGTTCGACAATTTGGTTGCCGAGGGGTATAATGAGCGAAAGGTTGGCAGTAGTAACGAGGTAAATGTTAGGTTGCTATTGTTCTTCGTTAAACGTGGGTTTTCATTGCTAGATATTTATGTTTAACCTCTTTATTTGGTTCATGTTAATGTTACAATGATTTCAAAGCAGTGATTATAGAGTAGAATAAACCACTATTATCGGTGATATTCGACGAGGTTCTATGTTTTATTGCTGAGGGATTATATGGTGAATAGTTCTCCAACTGATTCTAATTTTTTTTTTACTTATAATAATTATAATTTTGAGAAAACTAAACGTTACATATGTACCAATATCTCTGTAGAAATTAAGTACTGTAGTGACTGTTTTAGTGTTTGTTGTTTGGGATTGTATTTGGAAGTTTGTCTAGGAATTTTGGTTGATGAGATAAAGGGAAAAGGAGGATTAATGAGAGAGATATAATAATTTGTAAGATTATATTTTGAGATTTGTAGTTAACTCGGGTTAAGTGGCTTTGTTATGGAATTTGTTGAACTCGTCTTTTCATTGACTATAATGTAGTATTAAAAAAGGCGTATAGATCTTTGAAAAATTTAAGATCATCTTGATATCTCGTAAAAGATGAACAGAATAGAAACGTTTTTATACAAAATTAGTAGATGAAATATTTCAGATGTTATATCTTTTATTGACTCCCTCTGTATATCTATCAGTGAAAAATTAAGATGCGTGAATCCGGCATAAGGTTAGCTTAACATTTTCACAGTTTATTTTTTCTTTTTTTCAATAGCGAACACAGTAATATAATCTTACAGACTATAATATATGCAAATGTACAAAGGAAGCTAGGTTAAATATAATTTAAAAAATGTGAAATATAGAATCAGCAGTCTCTTTCGGTGGGATCATGTGTCCCAACAGGCCTCATTAGCGATAGAAAAATTCTAAGTAAAACCAGATCTCCCATCAGACATTCAGAAAATTATGTTACGACATATCGTCTCGATATTCGCGAAGGGGTTAAATGTGCAAACATTTCTACGGGCAGTCTGTGTTTTAGCAACTGTAATATCCGTCTCAAGGAAGTGCAAATCTGAACCACATAGTTACACAATGATTAATAAATCAGATAATGCATTTCGACAACATGTACGCGCGATGATTATCGAAACAGGAAAGAAAGCGAAACGAAATCCGATCTCTCGAGCACAAGTATAAATAATAACCCCGTTACTTAATATTATTTCATTTCGAACACCATTAATTTTAATTACCTGGCTGCCCCGCCTGTTACTACATTTTTGAAATAAATACGGATTAGGAAATATAATTATAGCATAATTTCCGAGTAATAAAAAATTAATCAAGATAAACACACGAAAGGATGGAATTTCAGTTTCGAAAAAACAAAATAATTGGATATTACTGGTACATTTCCCAAAGCAAGAGTCCAGATTTATTACGCAACGTAAAACAATCTACCCCAAACGCGCATAATTCCCACGAAACTATCCCGTTCCATCAGATTCGCGAATTACAAACATTTTCAATCCGAATTACATACTTTCACCATCTGCACCGAAACAAAATGTACAGCCAATTTCCGTTTCCCCAACCAGCCCGCGCAGAGCGTTCACCAAACCCCGGAGCCACCGGGGCAAAATGAATTATCAAGGAATTTCTGTTTCCACGTCATTCGTCGAAAACAAAGGCTGAAGTGAGGGTAGGGGAAGGTGAAAAAGGATAAATAAAACGGGCGAATAATTCTTTGATAGCATCGCGACACCGCGAAAGAAGTACACTCTCGTTCCGCAAAAATTCAATCTCTAAGTAGCGGTTCTCAGCCACGATTCAGCCCCGTCGTTCTGATTCGAATCGATGCTCTCTAAACAGCGAATAGGATGGGAAAAAGAGGATCCTGTCCTCCTTCAACGGTTGAGAGCGTTCCACGCGAAAATCCATTTTTAATGCAACGTCCGCGCCGCGTGCAAAACGTCAAGAGTCGCATGGCCACCCTGGCCCACCCTGGCCCACCCTGGCCCACTCGGGGCCACCCCGGGATCGATAGATCGCGAGCCGGCACGCGCTGCGAAAAATTGGCCCGCCTCTCGACGTGGTTTCGTGCGTTTCAATTAATCGAATTTCACCGATGAAATATCAAGACAATTCGAACGCGCGGCACTGTATCCACGGACTAATTGAATTACATTCAACGACCCCACGGTCTGCTAGAAAATAACGCCGTGATTTCCCGAGATTGCGTATTTCTTTCGGGTAATTAACGAATCGATTATGGTCGCCGGGAGAGGGTGAAAGCAGGCTTATTTTTCTCGTGAATAGTTGCGCATGGTGTCGAGGTTTGAAATATTCGAGGATAATGGCGATGCGTGTGTTAGAATTTAGGAAAGTTTGAAGTTCCAGGCTTCTATCTGGATTTCTGGAAGTTGGTATTATATATAAATATTTGGACAAAGTTGTTGCGAGGCTTGTTTTTCCTGCGGATCGTTTGATTAGGATGGATTGACTGCTGAGTTTTCGAGTTTTTTATGGGAGTTGTGATGGGAGAATTTGTTCGTGGGAGTTGTGAATATGTAAATGAAGACGAGGTAATTCGAGGAAATTGTTGAGGAGTGAATCGATTAAAGTTTTATTTTTTCTGTGCAATGTTTGCTCCTTATTGAGATAGTTGCGCATGGATGGATTGGGTGTTGAGCTTTGAAACGTTAGGGGATTATATAGACGTGTGTTGAAATTCTAGGATTTTGTAGAGATTCGCGGATGTTGCGAATAAATAAATAAAAGTAAAGTATTTTGGGGAAAATTTGATAAGCATTGAAATTGATATTACTTAAATAATGTGGAAATGCTTGGGTCTGGATTGGAGAATCGTTGTATGAAAATATATCAGCAGAATATGTTCTCCAATTAAGAGTTAAATATCGACTTTTTCGTTTCTCTAAATACTTTTTGAAGCGGAGAATTTCATGTTTGGTTATAGTTTTATACAAACTCGATCAGAATATTCAATTATTTGCGCTCACTGTGATGCAAAGTGAATGATGCAAAGTCAATCTTTTTCACGTGGTTAATAGGATTAAAAAGTAAAAAGATTTACTAGTTTCGCAATATTCATTTTCGAAATTTTCATTAATATTCTATTTGAATCTCTTTCAAATGGTTCAACTAAATCGCACATTTCCTTAAACGTAACTGTTTTATTTGTATATAAATTGAATTTTTATAACATCAAACAACACTCGAGAATCTTAAATATATTAATTTATCTAAAAGGATAAAAATTTGCGTAGATGATTTAAGAGAACGAATTAAATTAACTTGTATGGATATCAGCAATGTCATAACAGCTTCGAAGAAACGTATGGTTTAGTAGGAAAATTCAAATATCTTCTATTTTAATTTTAATTTTTCGCATACTTCACTTGAATAGCTTTATTCGCTGAAAGAATGAATTTTTAAAAAAATAATACCTACAGTACTGTCCAAAAAATATTATCGCTTTATTTCTTCTACATAATCTCGGATGTGAAAGAAACACGAAATTTTGTGAAAATAGGCGCTATAAATAAGAACAAAATTATTCCTTTATCGTTGCTTGTCGCTTCTAATTAACGGTATTAATATCGCTAAATTAATTAAATATTTTTTATAATACTCACTTGATGTTTCCATCATTTTCCAGCGTTATAATAACACATGCACCCTCTGCGAATTGCACGCCTCACTCTGCACATCCGGCCGCCACGTCGCTCCAACTGACACGTGGATGTGTCTTCGATAAATCCGAGGGCGAGATACGCTCGATCTCGAACAGAAACGGATCAACGCTTTGCCCCTGCATGTAAATAACCCGTAGCCAGCTAAACCATCAGCCGGGTAATAATCGTTGAATAAAATTCCCGGTAACGGTAAGTGTAAATTCCCCTCGAAACCGGCATTTTTTCGCTCCATGGATCGCGACTGCACGCATGAATCTTGAAATTCAATCACGGATCGCGAGTTCCTGTTTGCGCGAGCGCCGTTACATTTTCCTATCCGCTACCCCATTTTCGCTTCCGATAACCCCCTTTTCCTACATCGCTTCCCCTATTCTATTCGACTCATTTTTTCCTCCATTTCATTAATTTTTTCTCCTCTATCTTCGTTACAGAACGGAATTAAAGATCTATCGTGACGCAAAAGGATCATCGCGAGCACCGTCGACCGATAAGCTTTATAGAACACGGATTATCCGCTAAAAGTCGCTGGGTTTCACTGTTCGTCGTCACAATTGGTCGAAACACGTCTGCAACGTTCATACTCTCAGCACTAGATGGAATCAAAGAGGTTCTAGGTTGCATGCAAGTCCACGATGAATGCTCCGTTTCCTATAAATACAAATTCCTTACCTGCATGTAATATATTCCTGGGTCTAAGGCCCAGCCCTGCTAGGTAGCCTTACTGACGAATCCACTTGCAGGTCCCAGGATTAAACGCACCCTTTTCCTTTCGTGCTTACTGACTGCTATTTGATCGAAGAGATGCTATGCCAACACTGAAGACACAACTAGAAGACTTAAAGGGATATTCTTGTAATCCGTCTAATAAAAATCGATTTCTTTCGGATTTTTTTCTAAGGAAATCATGATGAATTTTGGTATGCAGTTTCCGTGCTCAGATTTATTTATGCTTAAAGAATATTTCCAATTTAGTTTTTGTTAAGGAAATTTTTGAAAATTGTGGAAATTATATGGCTTAGAGTAAGTTAAGTGTTTAAAAACGGGCTCGGGTGGCAGACATGATTCCGGTCCATGTGATTATCCGAATGAGAGAACCAAAAAGCATCATAATTAGTATGAATGCGACTATAACACGAACAAACGAAGTAGCAAAATTTCGAGAATTATAAAAATGGCAGCCTTTTGAAATTTAAATATCGATTTCCTTTGTGCTTTTCGTCTTTTGAGCGCTAAACAAAAATAGAAAAAAAATCAGATTTTCAAATCCGTGGTTCACGCGATAAAGGTAAATCCGATGAAGATCTCCTCGAAATTTCAAGTTAATCGGTCAGTTAAAACCCTAGATATTCAGTCAGCTAGTTCAAAAAATATGGTTTCGAGGAAAACGCGTTTGAAGCTTTTGTTACTCGTTGTACAATCTACAACTTTGCTAATTTTACGAATTCGAACAAATCCTTTTACGTGGAAATTTTCAGAAGCATATACTCTGAGAAAATGTAAAAAAAAAATTTTTTTTTTAAACCGGATTACAAGAATACTCTTTTAAAATTGGATACCCCTCACACGTTGAGTTAAACACGCAAAGTTGCAGAGGAACCAGATTTTCTCTGGAAAATTCATGGTCGTGGTATTTTTTCCCGTGACACGATTATGTTTGTCGTCTAGCTTTCTGCGTTTTCGAATTCCATTTAATCGATAATGCCGAGGAAATGATACCCATAACGAGGAAAAAATTGCAATTGTTCGTTGCAGTACGCGGACCTCAGTCACACTACCTACCCAAACCTGTCGAAGATGGTGTTCGCCATATTCATGGTGCTGGTCCCCATACTGCTGCTGAACATGCTGATCGCTATGATGGGCAACACTTACGCGCACGTGATCGAGCAGAGCGAGAAGGAATGGGTGAAGCAAGTAAATATTTGTACAACGATGTAATTAACTGGTGATTTCGCGGATTAACGTGTTACATTGTTTGCCATTCTTTGAACGCTGTATCACGGAGTCGCGTGGAATTGCAGCTGCGGGGGTGGGATTAAACGTCGTTTAATTTCAGCTGTTGACTCGGAGTTTGGTGGATCGCGTTTAGATATTGTTGTGTAAATATTTGCTGGAACGATGTATAGAGAATATAATTAGGAGGATCGGTGGTTGGAGAAATTGTCATTGTAGAGTAACTTTCACGTGGAATGTTGAAAATTTAGATGAAAGAATTTTGGAGGTAGTCCATTTTTTTATTCTTTTATTTTGGTATTAAGAATCGCGTGTAATTTTTGGGTTTTTAAACAGCAAAGAATTGAGTTTCGATAGAACTAATTAGAGTTTGGCTTCTGTATGGATTACGCGTAAGTAGAATTCAATTTAATTAACCATTGTAGGTATTCTAGAATCTTAATATTGTTTCTAGGAAATAGAGTTTAAAATTACGTTGATCTTTTGTTTTAGAACAAAATAATGTCCTCGCCAGATCTGAAATTCTGTGAAAATGATAACGAAGAAAATTCGTAACTCCTAGAAATATGTTTTGTAAAAGGATAATTGCATCTTCTGATCTAAATTATAAATCAGAATACTACTATTTGCTACATAGGAAGATAGTTTTATTTATTGTTATATGCTATTAAATTATAATAGTATATCCACAAACGAATAAAATATAGTTTTTTAATTATGGGAACGTAATTTCCAAATTCTCGCGTTATTATAGAGGATTAACAAAGAATTTAATAAAAATTTGAATTGTTATTTTGGACGTGTTCGATAGGTTTTTAATTTATCAATAAATCGCGATGAGATATTTTAGGGAGAGGTTTTTGATATTAAAGAATTTTAAAGAGAGTAGATAATGGTCAACTGGTTGCAGTGGGCGAAAATCGTGGTCTCCTTGGAGCGTGCCGTGTCGCAGAAAGATGCGCAGAATTATTTGCAAGAATATAGCATTAAACTGGGACCTGGAGATGACCCGAACAACCCTGCCTCGGAGCAGCGAGGAGTTCTGGTTATTAAAAGTAAATCGAAAACCAAGGCGAAGCAACGCAAAGGCGCGGTGGCTAATTGGAAGGTAATGTATCTCTCTCTTTCGTTTCTCTTCTTTGTCCATGTGCATATCTAATTGTCATTGACTCGTTACGAATGTAGGACGATTTTTAACAAACTGCTTTGTGTATCAGGGTGTCATCAATTGTTTACGTAATTAAATTATCTGTGAACACGTATATGAGTACTTTTGAACTTGGCTTGGTTAAGTACTACTTGTATCTCATAGAGGTTAGAATGAAAGAACGAAGCTGAGATTATTTGTAAATTAAATTGTTTAATAATTTTTAAATAAATTTATTAATATTTCAATAAATTTACTTATATTTTGATGAATTTATTTACTTTTTAATAAATAAGGGAGAATATTTTTGTAAGTGGCTCTGATAGGTTGAAATTTGAAATATTCTAGTAGAGACCTCTAATGCGCGAACATGGTGGTAGTAGTGTGTCAAGTGTTAGTCGTGTCACGTTGATATTAGTACAAAAAGGCGTACATAAAAATATTCGAAATTAGATAGTGTTAAAATTATTCAGATAAATATAACCTTAATTTGTAAACTGTTGTAGGTAATTAATATTTGGAATGTTTTCCGTAGACGTTTTCAATAAATAGATGTAGAGATTTTATATTAGGTATTAAGAAGCACGCGAACCCCGTAGAGGTTAGATTAAGAAACGAGGTTAAGATTGTAAATTAAATTATTCAACTTATTTCGATAGTTCATGTTTGCAATTGAAAGATATGAGTATAGTATGATAGAAATTATGGTTAGTTACTCAAGGACGAGTATTTAGGGTAAATTAAGATTTCTGTACGGGTGTTGTCCGTAATTATTTACATATTCGAATATTCTTTCTTTGTATATATATTTTTTCTCGCAAGTATAGGTTATACGTTTTAATAGTAATTTCCAGTAGATCCTAGTGAATTTTGCATCCACTCGACAATCTTCTTATTCAAAATAAACAGATTGCCGATAATATAACCTTATTGGTTTTTGTCGTTCGCGTGTAACCAATAGCCAATTTCTGGAGTAACAACATTTCCTTCATACTCACCTATAGAGTGACCTATGCTAGAGATAAGTGCTGGTTAACGAGGTTGTACATGCTTTCATCGGTGTAACAATATAAATACGTCGGTCTAAGTTACCTTATCACTGCTCTCAGCATTTATTTATTTTCTTTTTTATAAAAATTGAAACATTAATTGATTTATTCAAAGGTTTCTCGTCCAAGTTATAAGTGCGCCATGCGATACTTATATTTGCGGGAACTAAAGCCCGGGTAATTGAAATTTAATTCGCCTGTATTAATTTTCAACTTCGTAACTGAAGGGGATTCTGATTAAAAACCTACCTTGTTAGCTGGGTAATGGGCTGAAATAATAATAGGTAATTTCCTACTTTTTTGTTTAAATACGCGTGAATTAAGAATTAATAATAACTAAAATTGTTATCTACCATCGCGAAATTATAATTTACTCATCTTCAATTTTCGTATCTTTTGTTTACAGCGCGTGGGCAAGGTGACCATAAACGAGTTGAAGAAACGAGGTATAACAGGCGAGGAGTTGCGACGAGTTATGTGGGGTCGAGCTTCTTTTTCCACGCCTGTTAGAGTAAGGTAATAACCAACGTACTAAATCCCATACGTTGATTAAAAAGGAGCTCGTAAATTTGCATCAGGATCGTTAATTGACTCGTTAACGACGATCCAAGGGGGCGTGTGATACCGTGTAGATTGTATCTGGTTAATGAAACGCGATACAATTGACCTTGGACTTGCTCGTGTTAATATGCAAGGCATCAAGGTTACGGAACCCGATATTAACGCCGGGATATGCGTTGCATTCGATACTGACAATATTGGGGGTGTGACACGTGATTCAGCAAACTATGATCTCGCAGGGCGTGATATTGGCGACCACGATGCTCCACGAACCCATCACTGTGAATCCTGCTGTCATGCTATCTCACCCTAAAGACTCTGGAATTTGCAGCAATCCGTGCTAATGATTCTGGTACCATAGCAGACAATATTTGGAATTTGGACTCTATGCGAGCAAATACCGTGGATTTTCATTAGTTTGACTGGGTCTATAAAGTCTTTGTAATTTGAAGATCATTGTCGAATGCTGTATGGATCATGGGATTCGATAACAGAGGTTTCTTGGATTGTAAAGTATGTAGATGTCTATTACTATCGTGAATTTGGTACTCTAATCTCAGTATAAATGTTAAAATTGACTTGAAAATGAATATTATCGCAGTTAGAAAATTTATTATTGGAATATGCAAATATCCTTTGAGCTAAAGTACTCTGTACTGGAAATTTCTGATATTACAGAACATAGTATCCAACGTTGTCGTAGCGCTGCCATCGTCCACGTAGAATTCACAGGATCGCAGAACTTGGGTCATACAATTGCACGATCAAGAGACTAAACAGAGGAGACATCAGAGGCATAGTTCTCGTGTATAGGACTTGTGAGCTCACAGGATTCAATACTCCATGTCTCGAGAACCATTGACCCTGATATTCAGAGTTCTAGGAGACACTGGTGTGGGTACTCGAAAGATTATAGAATGGAGATACTTGGACACGACGAGTCCAGCTGATCCAAAACCCTCCACTACTCTTAGAGCCTTAATACTTTAATTCCATTGTCTGAGAGTACAACAGATCCTGGATCTTCAGCACCGAAAATCATTCAATGTGTAGGTTGTTCCAGATTCTCTGACATCAGGATTTATGACCTATGATCCTATTTCTGCATAGTGATCATACCTTATAGCTTCATCGATACCTGGTATGGTGCCTTATAATCCTATCAGTGCCTAGTATCGTACCTTATGACTTTTTGATGCCTATCTTTGTTATTCAATATTCTGTTACGCTATCACCATAATCCGGTATTTCATTGTGTGTGGCCACAGTCATCCATCGTATTCTGTGATCTCTTCTGTGTCCAATATACTAGGCAATGAACTCTTTAGAACCTAGCATAGCATCTCTGAATCTCCTAGTATTCGATATTGTGCTTTATGATCTCTTGCATTCCGACGTTATATTTTCCTAGTCTTATCTCTGTCTAGATCTATTTCTGTACTCTCTGACCATACATGTCAGCATTGTCGTTCTTTATGAGCATACTGATTACAGAAAGAGATGCCAGAGTGAATCATAGGAGACCACAATTCCATTTAATCTTCTTATCTGGTTTCGAATGGCAGATTTTGATTGATATCAATGTATTACAAAGTTCAAGGACCAATTAGGCGTTTAAATAGCTTCAAAACTCAACCTTACTGACACTTATTACCATGTGTATATATATTGGTCGATATTTGTATTTGATGCTCGAACTTTCAAAACTACCGAGCATAAATGATCAGACGAAACGACTTCAGATGCTTTTAATGCTCGAGAGGTATTAAAGCTTGAATGCTCGAAACTTTGCTTTACAGGATATATTACGTGATATAATGCCAAAAGTTTAAATAAAATCGTATGGAAGTTTAAATAAAATCCGGTTCTAATCCTTTTACAATAGATGTCAGTATTTCTGAAAATTGTTATGTATGGTGGAATTCATATTTAGTCCATTCAATTTTAATCAAAATCATTAGTGCTATTTCTAATTTAAATATTCAAATAAATCTTAAACGATGTTTAGGAATTAAATAATTGGGATAAAATCATTCTTCGAGTTATTTTTCGAAGGCTTTAGCCGATTCTTTTATTTCCGATATTCTGTCAGTTAAAATAATGGATTTCCTTGAAACTAGAAAACATATGTGTCCCTGGACGTCGCGAACATAAATTTTAAATCGTTAACCTTGTATGAATGATTCAGAGCATACCGCGATAGCACTTTTCATCGCTGAGTAATTGCCTCAAGTTCGATTTTTCGTTTACAGTTTTACCGATATTAACTCCTTCGATATCTTAAAAACTTTAGTTGGAAAGAAATTTGTATGTAAAATAGGTTGTCATATGTCAGTATAATAAATTAATTTTATAAATAAAACAACAAATCTCGTTTTACACGATTTTGCAATGGAGTTTGTTTTATTTATATTAATATATCGAATCACAAAAAATTCCTAATTTATGTATCATTCGTTATGGTTGTTTATTATACAAATAATTAATTGTCAAGAAACCTCTTCGTATCTAATATCTACATTTAATATCTATATTATCTAAAATTAAATGTGTTTTCGTCACACTTCTGAAATTTTTCAAAATACTTGTTGATATAACATTAGATTTATTGTCTTCCACAAAACTTGCAAAGTTCCAATCATTTATCTATTTTTAAAACCTTATCTCTTCTGACCCTCGTCTTTTATTTTATCTTTGTGAAAGATTCTTTCCCTTGCCTGGTCTTCTGACATTTCGTGATCATTAATCATCGAACAGAAGGAAGGACTGATCTATGAATTTTACATTCTTTTCGATATCTCAGTTTCATCTTTGATAAACAATATTTTAATATACAACTAACTACCACATTTAATAGTCTATAAGAAGCAATTTATGGGAGAAAATAATTTACAAATCTAAATCTTCAATTCGTATAATATATTCTGTAATAATAATATACTAATGATATTTGTAAACTATTTTCGATAAATTTTAATATTATTGTGTAATATATTATACAAAATATATTATATAAAGATCATTTCTGCACAGTCCAAACGTAGCGGAGCCTCAAGTTTCCGTGGTGACCGCCGGTTTTGGGGACGCGTTGACCGCAGCGTTGGACGTGATGGCGTTTGCCCACGATCTCGACTTGGCCACTGCCACGGAAGGAATTCCATCCAACATCGACTCGAAGCAGTCCAAGTCGAAGACTACCGACAAGGACCAAACGAAATTGACAGCGAATAATCAGGAGAAATTGACGATAGGCGTTCAGCCGCAGCAGAAACCCTCTATGGAAAATGCAGATCACTTGGCGAACGATCCTGAGGATATCAACAAGATATCCAGCGAACCTAAGACCGTTCACGAGCTTAATATGAAGAACGCCAGTCGTAAGTACTTGCATTGATTAAAAAGTAATCTCGAAGAATATTGTTATCTTTGAGAATTCGAATGTTTTATTTATATTTTATTTTTGGCGTGAAAGAGACATTTAATTTTATTTGTAGGATAAATGAAGCTTCCTTTCTGCGATCTGATATGAAAAATTTACGAGCTAGACTTGGTTAACGAGAAATGTTTCGACTTGAATCGAACGAAGAATGCTTCTCTTTCCGAATTTAAGAGATTTGAAATTGCTTAAATTCGTTTTTCGAGTAATTATTTCGCTATATCTTTAAATCGTTGTGATTACAAATATTCTTTGATCGATCTCCACGTGTCTTCTAAATTTTTTAGAATCTGGAATATACCTTGTCTTCGAGGCTAAATGGAACAGAAGTGGACTGAAGGTCCTAAGTGCCGATGAATGAATTTTGGAATAGACCTTATTTGTGTTATTCGATGAAACAAACAGAGTAACAGGATCAAGTTTCAAACTCGATCTTAACCATTAAAGAGTAATATCGAGGGCGTAGAATAATTACAAAGAGAATTCGAGAACGCATATAGCCGAACAGGCTGAAGTTCGAATATAAATGTTCCAAGTTTCTGTTCACGTTATTATCGAGTCTCGTGAGCTCGTTAAGTGGAAGCTCGGTCAATTAAATCTTGCAAATTCTTCGCTGGATACCTATCATTATGCCCGTATAATGATCCGTATACTTTAAAATATGAACACTCGCGATCTAATAGCGTCTCGGTTTGGAAAGCTGCAAGTTTCGATCTCGATCGAGATAATCTGGTTATTAAAGCGTGAATGAAACAAGAAACTATATTGGTGAACCTGAAAGATAATGTGCAAGCAAGGAATGATTTATGACCTTTCGCCTGTTAAGCATGCGGTTATCATAAATTAGTAAACTTTCAATCGATTTTTCTTCGTTAACCAAAAATTGTAGACTTTTAATAGTCTGTAGACAGATACCACTTTAATTCTAATTAATCTTTTTTCGTTCACTAGGAATTGGAAATTTATAATGTTTTAAAACAGCCATTATGGGTCTTTTAGTTTTAATTTGATTTTCTTGACTGAAAATTAAAGACTTCCAATCTTCTAGAACAACCACTATTAGTCTTTTACTTTTAATTTCATTTTCTTGATCCTCTACAAATTGTAGCTTTTCAGTTCTTTAGGGAAGTCACTATGAGTATTTTAATATTAATTTAATTTTCTTGCTGGAATACAAATTGTAAGCTTTCAATGTTGCAGTGTAGTCATCATTAGGCTTTTAGTTTTAATACAATTTTTTTTAGCAGAAAGTAAAAGCTCTCAATATTTTCCAACAACTACTGATAGTATTTTGCTGTTTACTTAATCTTCATCATTGATCTTTGTAGAAAAGGTTATAGTCTTTCACTATAATTAAGTACCTACTAATTTGTTTAATTATCATTTCTAGTTCAATATTTCCATTAACAAAGAACGTATTCAATATAATTACTATTTGAGTCACAATAATTATACTTCTCTACCTATATTCCAACTTTTTACATTTTTTACTAAATTATATTCATAAGATTAAGTTACCTTCTGCGTATTTTGTATCACATACCCATAGTTCAATTTTTTTATCTCCATCGATACATATAAAGTGCGCATTTATTTTCCAAAAATTGTCTAATTATACGCTAGAAAAGGTTCTTGTTTAAGTCACCTTTTACTATTTCACGACTAAAACATTCGGAACGTAGTCGGTTACAAGATACGTGGAACATTTCAACGATCTTAATTACATAGATATTTATCAAACTATCGACGTGGGTTGATTAACGTTTCGAAACGGAATACTCGAAATATTTTGCAGCAACGTCGGTGTTTCCGTTGTCCTTGATCCCGTTTCCGCTCTCGAGCGACAGAACAAAATGTCGCTGTTTCAGGCATCGGTGCACAACAAGCATTTCCCATTTTTGCTCGCCCCCTCTCCGCTTCCACGAAAAATAATTCACATTCGTCAGGATTTAACGCAGCTTTGCCAACTTTTATTACACAACCGCTGCGTGCAGGATGTTAATAAAACTTTGGGACGAGTCTGCGCATTAAAATAATGAAAGCTAGTCTATTTGCCCCGTTGGAAGCACCCCGACGTAGCGTCAGGAACGACTAGAAACATTCTCATTTAGAATCGAACCCGAGAATCGAATGGAATAAAACGATCTTCAGCGAGCTTCTATTGCCCGTCAGTTTTCAATTGGATAAATTTTTCTAATGGGAAAAATAAAATATCGTAATGAAACACACGATGAATGCGTGTACTTTGCGTCCATCAGGTTCTCTCTTTGACGTAGGAGGAATTAGAGAAAAATAGATGAATTTGATTTTGTTCGATATGAGTGGCTTCTTTTTGTTGGATATAGCAGTGGAATAAATTAAATTTATTTGTAGTTGGCATTTCGTTTACATATTTGATGTTTTCAGTTTAGTTCTACCTGTTTATTATCCCTGTTAATTCTACGTGCCTGTCCATTATTCACAACGTGGAGCTGAGTGGAGTATTTTTCTGTTGTTCTGAGGAGATGCATAGAATGGGAATAAAAAATTTTATTTGGAGTTAATAATAATCAGAGTTGATGAATATAGCAACAAAATTAAAGTTTCTAGCATTTTTATACTATTTGAGCCAATGGTTGATCTATAGTGCCTATTGTTTTGGAGAAATGCATAGAATAATATTGGAATAAAATTTGCTGTTTGAGGTAATCAATAATTAGAGTTGTTGAATGTCATAGCAGGATGAGAGCTTAATGTGACATTTATCTGAATTAAAAACTATTTGTTAATCTTCTATATTATTGATTTTACAATGTTAATTGATATATCTTTCTGTAGTCAGGAACATGGTATCAGTTAATCCCATATTCTTTAGTTTCTTACGACGGATATGCTAATCTGTTGGATCTCAAGGTATATCTCATGAGACGAATACAGAGGACTCGTAAACTAAACAAGGCGCGAAGAGAGGAGCATTTTTGCATGCAAGAAGATAAGAATGGCAGCGAGGAGCGAGATGGACGTAATTTTTGGTGACAACGCGTCATAAACAAAAACGTTCCATAAGATACGAGTAACCACGTAACAAAGAACTCCAGAACGTTGTTCTGTCTTAATTCTTATGAAATTTAGAATTATAAAAAGAGAAAAAAATAATTAAGTAAAATTTCAATAATAAAAATTCTCTAAAAAAATCTAATTCCTAGGTTTCTCCAATAAAATAATATTTCAGGAATAAAGAAAAAATATTCCTAAACATGTCATTTGAATTTGGATGTACTGAACTTTCAAAAGGAACAAAGTCAAAGAGATCAAAAAATCACTGTAAAATCTGTGCTTTTAAAAATCTTCGTATATTTCTCAAATCGTGAAGTTAGAATAACGATAAACAAAAGGAAAGAAAAGAATAATTTCAAGTCAAAAAGCTACTAGGTTACACGATGGTTGAGCACGTTTTACAAGGAACGTGTCCATCTCGCTTTTTCGCAAATTTAACAAGCTCTGTTTCGCAATGGGATGAACGTTACAAAAAATATCAACGAACATCTATATTTGTTTCAGATTCAAGGCAGATCGAGGATTTTCAGGATCCGCTTTTGGAACTTGTGATTGCTTCCGAAAATACGAGTGATGCTGGCACGTTGTTGGAAATAGCAGAACGCGCAGCGGCGGATTTCGAGACTGGAGCCAGTTCGAAAATAAATTTACAAATTTTGGAGCAATTCACGATGACCAAGATACCCATGGAAGAAAAAGTCACCGTCAGGAAAAAGCAATATTTCGTCGAGTCGAGTGATAACGATTTTGGCGGTAGTAACAAACATACTTTAGTTCGTTGACAGTTAGTCTATTTAGTACGAGCAAAAATTGGAACCAAATCCGAAAGATTTCTAAAATATTCAAGCAACGAACAGCAGAGATTTCTTTACTCGGTATATTATTTTAATTGGTTGATTGGCAACGAATTTTATACGATTGTCAAATTTCTGAAACCTTTTCAATCCTGGAATCTGAATACAACGTTCCTGTCACGAGTTAAAAATAGTATTAAAAATTACTATTGCATAGTACATTTTTATTTATGACTATATTATTCGCATGGCTGTTATCGCATATTTTTATAAAATTTCGGAATTAAAAATTCACGTATGAAAACACGCACACAGAAGATTCACCTCAACATACATGTTCATATAAACCGCTTATAATTCAACAACAATGTACATCGCTTTAATAATTCAAAGCTAACACGATAACTACACAGGTATAACTACGGCTCAAAGAGTTAATTACTCCAATAGAGAGTTATTTGTGTAATTAAATTGTTTAATGACTTATAACCGCGCTGTAACAATTTGTCTTGTACTATGAAATTCCTTTATTCAGACAACTGTATATAACATAATTCCAACATATAACTCCATTCCAAAAAAAAAAAATGATGCGTCACAAGTAATGGACTACCTTCAAACCATCAATCTACCCTTAAAACTCTTCACCCTCTTCCACCTATTGAAGTATCGCAAGCACGTTTATCGAGATATCAAAACCACTTCAACCAATTAAAATAATTAATCAAAATACCGAAATGAAAAAGGATCAACCACTTTAGCAGTACTGTATAATTAAAACGTCAAAAAGCAAAACTATCAGCGACGGCTGTAAGTTTCGCTGAAGGGCGTTAAGCGTCGCGTGAATTTCATGAAAATTGATTGTCTTATCGCAGGCGACAACCTGCTCGGAACCGAGGCCCGTCTACGTAGAATAAGATCAGCGAACAACAGATTTATCACGACACGGAGACGGTCGCGGCACGCCGACGACGACCTGTCATCCACGTCTTCCACATCCGTCGACAGAAATCCCCAATACCAGCCATTGCTCAACGGCCCTGAGGACTCGTCGAACCGTCAAATCGAAAGTCGGGACAGTTCCATCGAGGCAATTAAGCCGCAAGTAAAGCAGAACGAGCTATGCGACTCGGCGAAGGCCAAGGCTCAGAAGCGGCGACCGAAAACGGCCAGGAACAGGTAGCTAACTGCTAGTAAAGCTGTATGTAGCAAGACTGGTATTATTTTTCTTTTATTTAGTTGTTAACTGGATCGTGTGTTAATAGCGAATTTCTTTAGTTGCAGAATTAGAAACCAAAGAAGGTCAAGATAGCTTTGATTGGATTCATTTTAGCTCCTAGTGATATTTGATATTTTAAGAACAGTTAGATTATTTTTTCCAAAAATAGTAATAGCTCATTGATACTTCATTTCCACGTGTTCTTTTATTAGGTGTGTAAATTAATATCCTGCTCTTAGATTAATACCTTTTAATAACTGTTTTAAATTCTGACGTTTAATTAGAATTAGTAGTAATGACAAATCCTAATATTTTTACATTAGGGTGATTTAAAATATTGTTATCTATATTTGCATGCATCTGGTCTGAGCTGAAGAAAAATATTGCTTAATATATACTAGTTTTTATTTATTCTATTTTCCATAATATTCAAAGAATTAAATAAAGGCGAATTTATATTAGAAGCAAAGCTGCCATAGTCCCTCTTAGTAAAAAATAATGATAGAAAGTGACAAATTTATAACGTTTATTTCACAAGTGAGATTCGAATTGGTACCAATTTACACACCTAATAATTTCCATGGAATATCAGAGAGCTAGTTGACGAGTTAATAATTGAATAATTCGGTAATTTAGCAGAGGGCAAATTCTTAGTTACAATGGAGAAGCGTAAATAAGTAACGGAGCTGCAACGAAATGGCAATCGCATTGAAAGATCCAGTTTCACGCAATTTACTCCCATTTCGACCACCAATCGTAAAATCCTCTCCATCCCTCGCACAGCGATATTCCGCCCAGCGCCAGACATTTCACCGCCACCCTTATCATCCCTAACCATCGATCCAATTACCCGTCTCCGATTCGAATTTTCCGCAGAAAAGCAAACACATCCATGTTGGACAAAGACGTATACACGTAACAAAGCAATTATCACTTAAAGAAGAGGGCAAATGGAAATCCGTGGCGCGGCTGAACGAGCTTCTTTGGGCTTTAATGAAATTTCATCGAGCCACCTCCGCAACCCCCGTGGCACAGAAACGAAAGTACAGAAAACACACAATTTCCTGACCAGGCCTGGAAAAGTAATTACAACATAATAGTCGAGTTACAACAGTTGCCTGGCGTTCGTGTTAAAGTCACGACGTGACGCGCGCACAGACACACACACACGAGTACACGGGGTATGTACAATCAGACTGGAAACACCGGGAGCACACTATCAACAATCGATTCGTGTGTCGACATACCGGGACACGAGGAACACGCAATATTGGAACATAGATTTCCTATTTAGATTTGTCGAACGTTTCCTTCCACTATTTTCCGTACGGGGTTGAAAAACAGACAGGTTCGTTTCCATATGTGAGCGATGTACACTCGTGGACGGAATTAAAGGTGGATTTCGTAATTGTTTTACATCGCGGCTGTACGACGTTTCTTGTAACGATGGTAGATCTGGGAAGAGGATAATTCTATATGATTTCAGCATTCAATTGCTTCGCTCGTTCCAGCGGTCGTACACCACTTTCATTGCGGTATGACTTCATTACCGATTATTTCTGTCGTGGATGGTATATGTGACTTGGTGGTATGGGTGAAATGATAGGATAGGTCTCGAAGCATTATTCGTTTTTCGGGTCGTCGATGATGGAATTCTAGGGTGACCCAAGTTGTACCTAAAATTTATCTTATATATTTTCTTTCACTTTTTGGTGGATATGTTCTGTATTATTCTTTCTCGCTTTATGTTTCGAGTTATGTTTGATATTGTGGATTGAAATGGACACCAATATCTTCTACGCTTTTTAACAGTTATTGCATTTAGATAATAATATTTAAAGAATGAAAACAACTCGCAATAAATTATTTTAAGCAAAGATTGATTGATACTTTCTAGAAAGTTCTCCTCTCTCACTCTTATGAACTGTAACATACTCGTGTTTCCTCTTTGACAATTCTCACATAACTGTTTTATTCTGGCAGTAAATTCTTCTAAATATTTTTTCAAACATCATTCATACTAGTCTGCACTTATTATATTTAACCAACACTCACGGATATATCGTTTTTAGTGTGTATTTTATTGAGATATGTCATGTCTTAGTCAGTGCAGAATTAGGTGACTAGGAATTGTATTACATATTTACCTATTTCTTACAATTAGTCAGCAGATATGGCTAATTAATTCTTATTAATACTTGGTAATACTTGGTATTAATACTTGGTAATATTTTGGATCGTCTGATGGTTACTTAGGAATTTTTTTCCTATTTATTTCCATACTAATTTAATATTATTGTTGATATAGGTGTTGATATTATTATAAAACGAGGTTTCCCATGGAAAAAAAATCGAATTCCATATTTTATTGTTTGCGGTAGCAAGACAGCCTGTGTTACGGTGCCATTGTTATTATATGCGATTATTCAGTATCGGTGTGTATGGGGGTTGAATGTCTTCGATGATAAATTTATCACGCTGGGTGGTTAGTTTATCGTATATAAATCTCTCCTGAAGTCAACTCAATATTTATTGCAATTTTTGCTGCGTCGTATGTAACTATATTGTTATTTATCGTGGTCATAAAAAGATACGTCCTGCACGCGGCATGATATCTAAATTATATTTAATTATAGTGCCGAAATTTTGTGGTCTCGTAACGATATTAAATACGAATGACGAAGTGCACGTACGCAGCTGTTATTTCAGTTTCTATTTTATTATAAATTATTCCAAAAATTATTACAAGAAATAATATTTTTCTCCATTCGATCATCTACTTGCATGCTTTCTTGAACGAAATTTTTAATCTTCACGATCACAAATTTCTTAGGTAATATTTTTAATTGGAGTAATTATCTTTGTATCTCCACAAAAGTAGGAGAAATTGGAGAAAATAAAAACACTAATAGATTGATCTGAAAATTGTTATAAAATGGAAGGAGAAAATTATATAATGTTTGAATAGCATTATGCTTGACATAAGCATCGACAAATATCGTCATAGGTAAAAGAATCTAGATTACAAAAAACTCATTAGTCATAGCGATGACATTGACGAATCGATTGTTACAAGAAACGAGCTCTGACTAGACGATATCGATTCTTTTCGTTCGATAGATTCTTTTCAACGATAACAGCTTGTTATTTCGTGCTTAGATGTTAATGATTTTCTTGTCGGATGTCTTCATTTGAAAACAGATGGAATCATTCGTGTTACGCGATAAAGACATATCGCTGTACGTACATGTCTCCATTTATGATTTTATTTTTAATTAATTCTCATTTTCCATTCCAAGACCGCAGAGATAAATTATATTTTTCATTTTCGACACGGCAGCAATTCTAAAATTGAACACGTGGGTCGATGTCGTTTTAACAAATATACCTATTTATTTCGTTTTGCAATTAAATACGTGTTTCTGTCATCCTCTAGAATAATTAGAAAATATTGATCTTGATAACATTGATCGTATTTCCAGTTTTATTTCTTTTTTACAAAATTTTATGGCTTTATCGGCTACTCTTAAAGGGCTTATCTCCTTGAACCTAACAGGTTGCTCTCGTTTTCAAGTATACTATGTGGAAGTACTCTCTTGTAGTCATGGAATAATATAAAAATAAGGAAATAAAGGAAAAGATGGATTTTTCGAATTTTTCTTTCCAATTTTCATCGATTTTAATTGTTCTTTTTATTTTCTTCGTATTTAAAGAGTTTATTTCTTTGAACCTAATAGATTACCCTTGTTTTCAAGTATATCATATAGAAGTACTTTCTTGTAGTTATGCAATAATATAAAAATAAGGAAATAGAGAAAAAGGTGGATTTTTCGAATTTTTCCTTCCAATTTTCATCGATTTTAATCGTTCTTTTTATTTTCTTCGTATTTAAAGGGTTTATTTCCTTGAACCTAATAGATTGCTTTCGTTTTCAAGTATATCATATGGAAGTACTCTCTTGTAGTCTTGGAATAATATAAAAATTTAAAAATAAAGGAAAATATGGATTTTTCGAATTTTTCTTTCCAATTTTCATCGATTTTAATCGCTCTTTTTATTTTCTTCGTATTTGTTATTTTTTATTTCTTGAAACATTATATTTTTTGCATGTATCCCTAAGTGCATGTCATTTACAAGTAAATCTTGTACAGTATCTCTACATCTCACCGTCGAGTCATATTTTTTCAAACTTTTGCAACTAGAACGACGTTCCACTTTGCGTTTTAGCTTCTTGAACTGTTCGTATCTTTCGACACTTAGTCAGACATGTTTGAACAAATATAGAAAGCTTCGACGATTCTGTTATTCTAGATAGACTAATCACGAATGTATGCTTGAGATTATAACACTCGTCGAGCACGATTAGATAGGAAAATATTTAAAAATTCACGAACCGATACGATCCCAAGAAATTTCTATCTACGCTTCATCCATGGTACGAAAATTTAAATCATTGACATTTTGCATTTTAAATTCATCGATATCTCAAACATTCAGATACTAACTGATCAACTTTGTTTTCCGTAAATTTCTAAATTCTAATACCAAAGCACACGATTAGTCCTTAGCTTTTCATGAACTAATTAATCTTGATAGAGTACAGTCAGTTTAGCTTCCTAGTGACTGATTGAAGAAACTATAGAAGAGAGTGCTATAGATTCGATCAGCTTCGTTTCCTGTAAATTTTTCAATTCTAATACTAAAAACCATGATTAGTTTTTAACTATTCACAGTCGAGCCAATTAACCTCCATAGAGTTGCTTTAGCTTTTCTATGGAACATGTTACGCACACTGTAGAGAAAAATACTAGGTATAGCTCGAATCGACTCCATTGTTTGCAAATTTCTTAATTCTAATACGAGAACACAGAATTATTTTTCAACTTTCGCAACCGAGCCAATTAATTTCTATACGGTATAATCAATTCGATTTTCCTCATAAAAATTTTTAATTAATCAAAATTAAAATTCTTTTTATTCCCACGCCAAAAATCACAATTATTTCTTAATTTTCGAGTAACGGACTAATTATCTTTCGGAGAGTATCAATTTATCCCCCTATAATTAATCCTAACGTGAAAGTATAGAATTAGCTGTTAATTTTCTACGAACAAACCAATTAACTTCGATAGTTCATCTTTCCCGTGATTCATTCGACACACAACGAAGGGAAGTAACATATACTGGATGTAATAATCGTCCGAGTTGCTCTCCTCTCGTGTCAGAACTCCGGTTGCCTAGTAGGTAATCTGCAAAGAAGCGTGTTTCCGCTAAACAGGTGCCTCGCGTGGCAAACTTCTGTTGCAGATGCGTAAGATTTATTCTAACGTCGTTACTGAACGTCTTGCATTATACTCGCGAGGTAACGAGCACCATGGATTTCCGAGTAACACACAATGATTTCATTGTAACGATTAATCACTGCTCTAGTCTATAGTTTCGAGTGACTCATTCGCTGTTCTCTCTTTGTCTCGAATTACACGCACCTGCAAGTTCAGGAATGAAAAATTCTAGACTTCTGATGCCAGGATTCTCAACACAATCGAAAGAAGGCCACTATACAACCATTTTTCTTAGCCTCGACAGTGTCTCTGGTAGGCATAATCCGAGTACCAAGTACAAAGGAACTAACATAACAGTTCATGAAAAAAGAAAGAAATACAATTTTGGTATGAAATTTCGGAAAATTTATAATAGATAGGAAATATCTTAAATTTTGAGTGTAGTTCTTTGCTTGGTATCGTTTGTCAAAAATTATTCTTTAGAAAACGGTATCAATTACTAGGTTTCATCACACGCAGGTGGGTATGCATGGAGACCCTGGTCTTAGGGGTCTCACAACGGACCCCCTATTGGCAACCTTTTGTACCACAGATACTCCTGTCAAACATAGAGCAAAAGTTGAAAGTGTATCTCACACTGTGTCAGTGCCTTATAAAAGGGAATTCGAATCGATACACTAAATTTTAATACTCTACTTTCGCGATACTAGCATTTTTCATTTTAAAAGACTTTAATCACTCTAAGTTCTCAGGTAAATTGGGATTAAAAAAATATGTAGAAAACGCGAATAAATAAGAATTAATATGAAAGTCACGACACGCGATCGAAAATAACGAGTTTACACGTATAGAAAATATATATATATAATATATAGTACTGACCACTTACCCTTGACCGTTAGTCACCCCCTTTGCTCGAAAATTGACGGAAAGTCACAGTCACTGCCGATGTTGTCAATAATGACGTGTCTTCTATAACAACCAAAAATTTCTTGATTTTTTCGTCTTTATTATAAATTTACGTAATGTTTTTACTCTTTATGTAACACTTTATTTGGTTCAAAAATCGTGCCCCTTTAGAAGAATTCTCATTTTCCGGAAATTGAAGGTAACAGAGCGATTTCGATTACGAATCATTGTCCAGTAATAGTGAACTCTATAAGAATCACCTAATGGATATTACAAATTAGGGTAAAAGTTAAAATTTGTTGAACAATGTAATTGCATAGAAGCATATAAGTAATTAGCGTTATTTCAATCGTCTCGCCGATTACCTGCCCAAAATCGATCTTCGAATAAAACCAGGCGAAAGAACGTATTTCGTTTTTCATTTCGAAAATTTGAGCAAATTTTTAATTCCGGCTGCCGCGAATTGAATTGTCGCGAGTCGTATCAATCGTTCCATCATCGACTCTCGTCGCGCTATTTTTATTCGAAATCCTAGGACGACCGATGGGAACACGTTCGAACGAAATGATGAATAGCGGCCAAAACAAGTAATGCAAATTACCTTGGGCGAATTTCGAATTTTCCGCCGCGATATGTAATACAGGTTGCGCCCGTTTCCGTTACAGTTAGTTTCGGTGGAACGTCAACGTCCCATGTAATTATTCCATGGAACTCGATGCAGCGATAAATTATTAATCACTAGTTAATAATAATTCCTCAAACGAGCAGCCACGGGACAACGAAATCGGATCACGGCGTATGCAGTCGTTCGATAAACAGTATTGGAAATCACGCGAGCGCGATATTGCTGGTGAAAGAAGGAATTTAAGCGTTTCGAAGGGATGATCCGCGATATCGCCGATTATTAAAGGTAAATTGAAAGTTTTGCTTTATTAGACGGGGTGAACGCGAAGTGTGACTGTTTTCAGTGAAAATTTAGATTTTGCTGCGTAAAAGACGATAAGAGAGTTGAGCTCGTGAATATCGTCGCGTATGAATCGATTATTTATTATTTTCTTCTTCTTTCACTCGTGGTATAATAGGATTTAATAATAGAGGGTGAGGAAATTGTAGAGAATTTTAGAGAATTTTGCAGAATTTTAGAAAATATTTTCGTCTATGGAATATAAACACAGAGGTGATTTATAAGAGGTAATTGAGATTTAGGAAATTTTCAATTTCTATCTCAAATATTAATAGAATTCTTTTACTTTAATAATCATAGCCTACGTCTATGATAGAAAATATAATATCAGTCGTAAAATATAATATCGATGACGATTAGTCACTTCGTTCAGCTTACTTCACGCAGTATCAATTTTGTTATACATTCCAAAGTGTTAACACCAGTTTCGCATTACAGCAACGAGGAAAATACAAAATGCTGAAGATGATAGATAAAACATACAATATTACACCGCGCAAAAAGAAACGTTCCAATTTTCTTAATTTTAAAACTCCATCCATAACCCACCACTTCATCATCGCACCAGCACTCCTTACCAACATTAATATCCTTACAAGCTAGGATACAATCAACGGGAACATGGTATCTCGACAGCCGCCGACTCCACAGACCTGCAAACTTCCGCGCCCATATAGCTTCATTTTATCAGATACCACGTTGACAAACAGCACATACACAATTGAATTAACTCAGTTCGCGATCATTTGGCGTCATTACTCAGTCGCCGAGACGCCACCCAGCTGCTAGTCCAATTTCCAGACACGGTACCTCCATCACTTCCACCAATTGCATCCCAGTCTACCCGAACCTGTCTGCGACACCATCCCTCTATCTTCCTCGGCAAACCTAACCTCTCAGTGGAAAAAATAGCAGACGGTAAATAAAAAAGGAGAGAACCCTGTCTTATCAAAGTCTTCCGCCAAATTGCGACTCACAAAGAACCCATGTTCCCTGAATCCCTGAGTCCCTGATCCGAGCTAGTGTCCACGTAGTTGGTGTCCGTGGGCACACCGATTCACCGTCCGTTTAATGGTTTCTGTTCGCCACGATGCATGCACAGGGTGTCCCCGAAGGAAACAGAGGATACTGGCCCGAGGAGAAGAGAATCGATCGAGCGGAATAAGGCGGTTTCGCCGTCGACGTCGCCCACGGATCCGCTCGAGCCATGGAGCACACGCGGCATTAAGGACATGAACACGATATTGGCCTGGGAAGAGAACGCGCCGGACAGTCCTTAACGAAACTTTACGATATTATGCGCCGTGTACCTCCGGCTGGCTGCCCGACCGACAAAATGGCGCCGTTCTTGCCGCCATTTCGCGACGGATGTCCGGACCCGGCCACGGGGCAGCTTGGACCGCTCGAAACTCCGGATTCGAGGATGTAACGGCTTTTTCGAGGGATCAGTGGTAACTTTGGCAATGTCGAAGGAGACGTGTGCTTGTCAACGGCCAATATTTTTGTTGGGAACCAAAAATTTTACCGAAGCTTTGAGTTGGAACGAAATTGTGGCAATCGATGATAATTTGTAACGGGATACTGGGCACTGTTGTAAAAGAGGATTTAATCGATGATGTAAAAATTGGCGAATCGAGCTTTTGGATACCATTGGGATTAATTTGAGCGAGAAAATTGTAAAACATCGCCTGATTTTATTACACAAAATGGTTAAATATTGAAATTCGTGGGAACTTGACCAAGAGATTATTGTTTTCATTCGCGATTGGTATGATGAGTACACTTAGAGTTTGTTTAGCTGGTTAAATTCTGATAAACAAGATTCAAATTTATTAAATATTCCATCGTGCATTTACGTATGATTGGCAGAGTCTAGTACGAAAATATAGAGTGACGTGGAAGAAAAAGTTCTTGGCCGGATTACAGCCTCTTTTTATGGAGTATTCTAATATTCTAATAATATTCTAACATACTGACAGTGATTGATATCGTATTATACGAAAAAACATCCGCGAATATCACTTTTTTCTTGTTAAAAAATTGATTCGTTGTATTCATAATGAATGAAAAAGCAGAGTCACCTGAGCTTTACTTATAGTCAATACTGGTTTGCTCGGATGTTGCTCGTTAATTGTTCGCAGAAAGCACGTGCTCTCGATGAAGGAATGACAGTTCAGAAAAATAGATATTTAGACACCACTTGGGAACACAATTTTGAAAATAGCTCAACCGATGGTTTTCATAAAGATCCTCCATAATGAGACAAAATATAATAATTTAAAGCATATAGTTTGGATAATTTTAAGAAGGAATATTTATTTCTTGGAAATTAGAAGTTTGAGAGAAGTTCAAGACAATTTCCAGAAGGCAAATTATATTGGAGCAAGTCTAGATTTCTATAATTAACGCTGAATTTTGGATCGAGCAAAAATACACGAAGTTGAAGAAAAATACTGCACGTACCAGAAAAAGAAACAGCAACGTTCAATAGTAAATTTAATTTAACTCTCTTCTTAAATGCAATTATTTAATTAGTCGTATAATTAACGGCAAATTAAATTATTTTTCGGAAGATTAAATAGTTAAAACGAAATCATTTATATCAGTACGTTATATCAGGATCATTTATTATTTTTAATATAAGATCTACAAAGAAATTGTCATTAGTAAATATTTATGAAACATTTTAGTAATTTATATAGAATAGTAAATTTATTAGTCTCTCGTAAAATAAAATACAAATAGCGCAGTTGAAAATATTAAAACGTTAGAAAATACATACAAATTTTTGCATTCTTTTATATAGGTAGATTTTAAACAAGGGTTGTTATACAAACTGAAAATTAGGAACGAGATTAATAGCATTTCTATTTCCTAGCATGAAACTAAAGGTCACAGTTCATACTTGTAAATAACAGCTGAATTTTCATCCACTAGGAAACTTTGATCGTATTTGCATATAATTTAAATTGTAATACCATTTCTAATTCCTTTTCCTCGTCGCACTCCAATATTCTTCTGTCATTACCAATATACATTTAGGTCGTTAATGTCACCTTTGCCATTTTCCACCTTCGATTCTTAAACCTCGCTCGCAGACACCACAATCGCCACTTCTATAACTCATTTCTATATTTACTCGTAGCAGGGTGTTATTAAAATACTTAAGAAAAGTTTGCTACTACGATCTACTATTTATAAGAATGAAAGATGTATTGTACAAAGTTACGTGGCGAACTTTCTTCCCCCGAAAGTTGCGCCCTTTGAAAACCGCGCGCAAAGTTACATCGACTTCTTCGTTTAATGATCCAAATATAGCCTAGCCCTTTTCACGATGAAAAATATACGTAAAACCACACGTTGCGAATATTTCTCCTTTCAAAGTTCAAACTTGCACGCGGCAAATACAAAATTTCGTTTACAATATTCCGAATATGTGTCAGAATTCCCACTGTTTCGCAGTTTCTCATCGAATGGTTAACTCAGCAGTGCCATTTCCCGTTCCACGTTGAATTTTTTATTTAAGCCCTACACAATGAACTGTAACAGAAGCTCGTGCAGTATAAATATCTTCCATCTTTACCGAATATGTGATAGATCGGTTTCCGTTCGACTCGCTACATCAGACTCGTAATAATTTAAATTTTACAGTGCCATTATCGATCTGACGTTGAATTTTTCATTCCATCGTCGGAGAATTAACTGTACCAGATACTTATATACGCACGGAAATAATTCATTCGTAAGGAATAATTCTATTAATTAAAATACCGCAGATAAGGGATGACACTGTGAATCAAAATCATCTTCGTTGGGCGAGATGTTAAGCAGACGAGTTACCATTGAAAAACGAAATTATATCGCAGAGAGAAATTTTGCGCGGAGAATTCGCATTATCGTGAGAGAGATAAAAAGCTTTTTATAGCAAACCCGCCGGTGCAGAAGGGTACATGCTATACTCGCAAGCTATTACGATAGAGGCTACACCGCTGATACGTTTGACGCACGGAAAAATAGGAGAAACGAAACGTAGTTCTGAGAAGTCTCACATGCAGGAATACGAATATTACAGATTGGCGGGAAACGAACGGTACACGGTTTCCAATATTAACAGTAGCTGCGAGACATTGTATTGTCCCTGTGCTGCACGGTACTTTTACAGAACGTCCCCTTTGTTTCGCATCGCCGCAATGAGAATAAAATTATTATCGGTGAGCATGGATGAATTATCCTTTTTACACCCACGTGTCGAATAAAATATTATGTATAGCACCGCATTGCCATTTGTAATAATTGTAAATGGCAACCATCGAATGGCTCGAAAAATTTCAAAAACAGTAATATCCCGAAAGCTGATCTCGAGATCTTTCGCGGATATTCGAAAATTTCGAGAGTATTCTCGATATTCTTATATGTCGAGAGATGCTTCTGGGACCCTAACTTTATTCTGAGAGAATTCTCAGCGCGATCCGAATCGACGTACTCGACCTTTTGCGCAACATTAATAGATAGTGCGTATTATCGTGCGTAAACGTATCGACGTATGCAAGATACACAAGGTGTCGAGAGGTTTATTCGTTTTATGAGCGACCTCAGGTAACCACGCAGTATATAGCACGGTGCGATTAAAGCGCGGTACACACGAGTGGCAGGTGCCATTTTTGGATTAGGGTTAACGTCACGAAGAGATTGTATATGGTAATGCACATAATGTGACTTTGAATTTTGGCATCGCTTATAATTAGGGAAATTGGTAGACGAGGGATGCAGGTGTTTCAAAAATGGGATAAATAGAGGAATTAATGAAATAAGACCTCTGTGTTGCGCGATAAAACTTTTGGAGGTACGCCATGTACTTTGCGAATAATTTGAAATTTAATGTATACAATTTGGTAGATAAAGTAGGTAGTATATTTGATATAACGTTGATATAACGTATTTAATAGAATAGTAGATAATATAAATAAGACTGTGACTATGGGATAACAACGGGATTAAATTGAACGTATTATCAGAGATCACACAGTCTCCTATTTACGAATAGAAAATGTTTGTAAATACATTTCGTACGATTCTGTTTTATTTCTATAAAGCTCCAAGATTAATATTAACTCGGGAATAAATTTTCTTAGTAAAATAAGAAACACAGTTTGCCAGGGAATATGTGTTCAGTTATTTTTTCTCAGCTTAGCTCTCCCTCATTAAACAGGTTAATCAAGATTCCACTGTATAAGTTTAATTTTATACCCATTGTTATGCTGTAACTGCAGTTCCAATTATATACGCATTCCCAGCACGTTATTCTCGCGTTTTAAATTTTAACAAGTACCTTTCGTAGCGTATTTCATCCTTTCAGAGTATCCAGATTTTTCTGTCAAAGCAATTTTTAATATAATAACCCTCAACACGACATACCCCCGATCCAATTATTCGGAAACTAGGAATTTCACACGTCGCTTCGATTTCGCTGTAAGAGGTCGCTAAATGTCGGCCATTATTCATAACCTAAGTGATTTATCGGGACATATAATTACCGCGGTTTTTACAGCAGCCTGCTTGTACTCGCGTTAAATCTGAATTATCGAAGGCCACGATCGTCAACCACGTTCAAAGTCGAATAATTACGAGCATTGCGGTGGTACATGTCGGTTATCTTTGTTTTCCCGTTTCAATTCGAATGGATCCCGCGTTAGTGGGTCGCGAGCCTCGTGTGTACCGGGCTTAACGCAGCTGCGTACACATGGCGTTGGATGTTTCAACACTTTAAAGAAAGCCCGTGAATTAAGAGCTCAGGAGGTTCAGGGTACAACGGTACACCGAGACCCCATAGGTACTTGATCGCAATAGCATGCAACAGCAATTAGTGCTCTTATCGGAGCAATTTCATTAATAAACTACGCTACTGCCCCATTTTTAGCGTGTCTAGAACGCAGCTCTGTGTCCCAACGCGGCGCGCGGAATTATCGTAGGCTCGATACATATGTAAAAAGGGAGAAAAAGGAGAGAATCTCGAGGATCGTTCCATTTCTTTGCTGGAAACCATTTGTATGCGCGAAACGTAACAGGCGCGAAGAAATAAATTATTTTCAATTTCTTGCGTTCTTTATTAATCACCCTTTCGTCTCATTCACTTCGTCGCTTCGATCCGGATCCTTGTTACAGTTTTCATACGTTTAGGTTATCAGATGCTTTTTAACGTATCAGTAAATGAATTTGATTGTTCTCTTGTCAAGCATTTATGTTCTGGCATGGAAATTTATTCGTATTCTTCCTGATCAATGAAAACATCTTACAGAGATGAATTTTATTAATAACAATTCGTTGGACTGTTTGATTTTATTACTTCCTGTGTTGTATAATTTCGCGATGTTTGATCGTTGCTATAGTTTTAATATATTTAGAATACCATATATTATTCTCGGATATTTCTTAATATATAAGTAAACGAATTTCATTATTCTTTGTTGAACTAAAAAATTATTAGAGTGAGAATTCATGTTCTGCAGAGTCCTAGTTTGAGAAATATAATAATCATGCTCTCTCCGATTATATTTAAGTATAATTAACCTGATTACATAATCA